GGGGGGGGGCTTTTTTCTCCAGCAGTATGATGAGTATTTTGTGTGTTTTTGGAAAGGTGATTTTTGCACACTGGAATCGGTGACGATATGGCCAGAAACATGCCAGAAATGTGTTCTATGCAAGTACGCAAACGCCAAGTGCACAGTTCTGCTGTTTATACTTAACACACGTTCTTGAGTCACTGTGGCGGTAACAAACCCAAGGGGCCAATAGAGTTACGTTGTCTGTGCTATTAAAACAGTTGTACATAACCGGAGATGCAATATGAACTGTGCTTTGACATTTCAGACTGAAACAATGTGTGAAATTGAGCTTAAGTGTCTACGTACTTGCGTAGAGGTTTTGGGGCCTGTGTATTGTGATCTCAACATCACTGCAGAAAAAAATACACACAAAAATACAAACGAGGTGGAAATATCAGTGTTATACACTGACGGGGTGTAAATATCTGCTCTGAGAATGATTCAATTACAATTATGATTCTTTACTAAATGACGCAATTGAAAATGGAATCATGATTTAATTCGATTGTTTTGGTAAGATTCTTTATCATTTTCAAAAATATGCTGAAGGAGGGCCATATGATTTCAGCGATGCGGGAAACAAGGAAGCATAATCCAGTCATTTTAATGCAATTTATTGTGTAATGCGGAATGTCACGGAATTTGGCAAATATACACTTAATAAAATCGCAATATGGACTAGTGTCTGTGAATATTATAGACTAAATTTAGATATGAAGTCTGCTTGTTCTCCATGTGAATGAGAGGCGCAGTTGCATTTACAACCCTCTACACAAATCACTCGCATATGCGACTAAATCTTCACTCTGGGCGACTAAATGATGTCTAATATTAGCCAATGGCTAATAAATTCTCAGATTTTACTCGCCAGTGTGTGAGTTGGAGGCTGAGTATATGATTAGCACAGATATATTTTCACTCACAGAACACTCTGACTGAGCGCTTCAGAGTTTCACTCTCCATCAAGCGATCTGTGATATTTTTCAGTTCATCTCAATGGATGCGCAGCACACCTGTATTTG